ACTAAAAATTTATTGTAAAATAATTTTATAATTATTAAAAAATTTAATAATATCATTAAGATGATCTTAACTTCATTGAAAAAAAATAGCTAGTTTTTGTAAAGAAGTTGTTTGTAGTTTATTGTTTTGTTCCATTTGCTCAGTTATTAGAAAATTAGAAAGCCAGTAATAGGTTGGTTTGAGTTTAGGATGTTTGATGTTTGGGGTATTGGTTTGGTTTTAGGTTTTTTGTACGATTGATGAGTAAGTTGTTTGAGTATTGTTCTTGTCGAAATTAGTGGTTTCTGGGGGTGGGGTTTTGGTAATTGGGATTTTATAAGAGAGGAAGGAGTTATTATTTGCTTCAGTGTTATATAACGTATTTTGAGGAGTATCACTATAGAAGTTAAGATTTTGTTTTGGTTGGGTTGTTATTGTTGTCTGTAGTAGTAGTAAGAGGTTGGAGAGTTAGGGAGAGTGGGTTTGTAGTTGGTTGTTTGGAAGACTGTGTGTGTTTGAGTTCGTCGTCTAAAGCTTGTTGGAAAAAAGGAGTTAGGTCTTTTCTGGTAGAGTCTAAGGTATTGGTTTGGGATGTGTTGGAAGAGAATACAAGTGTAGTTGCACAGTAGGCATGGTAGACTTCTTTATTGATTACTTTATAATTTTTGGTTGGGCGATGTCTTTCATTATAAAATTTGCAAGTAATGGTTAAATGACATTGTAGATATTGGTGATGACATTGTTGAGGGGTAGAAGAGGGTGGGATATTTTCAGTTGTGTTAAAGATTTGGTTGATAAAGAAAGTAATTAGTTCGATATCTTGCAGATTTGCATTTTTTCTAGTTTTAACTACAGAGAATTCTGTGTAAAGTTGGTAGGTTTTGTTTAAGTTGGAGACAAATTTAGTGTGGTATTTGTTGCATAAACACTTAATAGTAGAGGTTGAGTCGGATGTATAGAAGAAATGAGTACTTTTGTTAGTTGCTCTGGTACTTTTGGTAATACAAATTGTTGGGGCTTGTTTAAAAGAGATCGGTCTCATATGACTTTTTCCCTCTCCTTCGAAAAGTGCGATACTATAACTATTTTTACAGATCGAGTGAAAATAGTCAAGATCTAATGTATCAGCTAGTTTGTTGGTAAAGGTTGGCATTGTAGTTTAGAAATAATAGTAAATTTAAGATGGTATAATAATTAGCTTCGAGACAGTATAATTTCTGTTTTGTGTAATGTTACACTATAGAATCTTCTAGATATTGCGGCTTGTATAACTGCGGCTTATGTAACTGTGGCTAGTGTGGCTAGTGTGGCACAGGCTTGTGTTGCGTAACTGTAATTTAATAGGTGCAAACTTTACTATTCATGTTAGTTAAAAATTTCCTCTTTTGTAAATATTAAATTTTAATTAAAATTAAAATGAAATTAGTGTAATTTAAAGAGAACCACTAATTTTGAGTTGTTAGAAACGTGGGTAGTATGATCTAAAAATAGTTGGTGTTGCATGGAAAACGCCTATAGGGTTTTTTGTAAAAGGGGAACCTTAAAGAAAAAAAGAGAAAAACTTAAGGGAGTTCGAGCGGTTTTTTAATTGTATTTCCGTCAGTTTTAGGTCTACAAGCTTGAAATTTAGCTTGTTATGACGGGAGTGGTGAGCTCTTTGAGTTTTTCTAAGTTCAGGAAGTGTGTTTAGATAGCCGTTTTAAAGTTATTAGAGGAAGTGTAGAAAAAGAGGCCAAGTGGCCGTTTCTCGGTGGTTTTAAAAGTTTTTAATTTAGTATTCTAGTATTATATGTATTTTTTAGTTAGGAATAAGTTTATTTAGTAGCAAAACTAAGGTTGACTTAGTAGAAAATGAAGTTATAAAGTATTTTAAAATAATTAAGCTGGGGAAAATTTGTGTACGAGTGATAGACGGAAAGAGTTTACATTCGTAAAATTTGATAGCTTCACAATCAGATTACTTCATTAATTTTTCTTAAATATTACAAGTTTGGTTGTTCAAATTCAGACTTACTAACAATTGTCAATTTTAAAACTAGCAATTAACTAGTAAATGTGAATTTGGTGACCAAAACTATGCTTTTAATTCATTGTAAAACCAGTGTAATGATTAAGAATGGATCAACGATGTATTAGGCGCAAATGGTGGATCGATTGCATAATTATTTACATTGCATAATTAGTCTATATAGCAGATTTGGCGAAAATAGCATATCAAGTAGATTTAGCATAAATAGCAGATTTGACCGAAATAGCATAACTAGCACATATAGCATATATAGAATAGTTAGTATAATTAGCAAATATAGCATATTATGTAGATATGTAATTAGTATATAAGTGTAAGCATTTATTAAGTTGTAAGGTGTTTCACAAACATCATAATTAATAAACTATCTATTTGGCTCCGCCAAATCGAACGTCCTTTTTCGAGACATTACAGTATTCTCGTTGAATGTTATGCAAACCCTTTCCCGGTTTACCCTAACGAGTAGGGATTTTAAGGCGTGCGTTTTTCCTGCTTAACACCAGTAATAGCCAGATTATACCAAGATTAATAAGGTTGATAAATTTTTTAAATTAATAATTGAGATCAGTGTAAAAGAGAACTTTGTGGCCTGATTATATTATTAACTTTTCTTAAATACTATGGTTTGGTAAAATTCATATTTTTAGTCAATTACTAGCTTTAAAACTTGTAATTAACTAATAAATGCGAAGTTGGTCAACCAATCTACAGCTTTAACTCATTGTAAAACTAGCATAGTCAGCTTATAAAATTGATAAATTTTTTAAATTAATAATTATACCTAATTGAGATCAGTGTAAGAAATATTGATATAGAGATTCATGCAAAATATATTTATAAAATATGAGAACTTTGTGACCCGATTACCTCTTATATATTATAGTTCAGCCAAATTTATATTTATTAGTTAATTACTAGTTTTAAAACTAGTAATTGACTGGTAAATACAAATTTGGTTTACTAAACTCATGCCTTTAATTTATTGTAAAACCAGTAATAGCCAAATTATACCAAGATTAATAAGATTGATAAATTTTTTAAATTAATAATTAAGATCAGTATAAGAGAGAACTTTGTGGCCTGATTATATCATTAACTTTTCTTAAATGCTATAGTTTGATATTTTTAGTCAGTTACTAGCTTTAAAACTTGTAATTGACTAATAAATGCGAATTTGGTTAACTAATCTACAACTTTAACTCATTGTAAAATCAATCATAGTCAGCTTATAAGATTGATAAATTTTTTAAATTAATAATTATACCTAATTGAAATCAGTGTGAGAAAAATTGATATAGAGATTTATACAAAATATATTCGTAAAATATGAGAACTTCATGACCCAATTACTTCTTATATATTATGATTCAGCCAAACTCATATTTATTAGTCAATTACTAGTTTTAAAACTAGTAATTGACTGGTAAATGCAAATTTGGTTTACCAAACCATGCCTTTAATTTATTGTAAAACCAGTAATAGCCAGATTATACCAAGATTAATAAGCTTGATAAATTTTTTAAATTAATAATTGAGATCAGTGTAAAAGAGAACTTTGTGGCCTGGTTATATCATTAACTTTTCTTAAATACTATGGTTTGGTAAAATTCATATTTTTAGTCAATTACTAGCTTTAAAACTTGTAATTGACTAATAAATGCGAAGTTGGTTAACCAATCTACAGCTTTAACTCATTGTAAAACCAGCATAGTCAGCTTATAAAATTGATAAATTTTTTAAATTAATAATTATACCTAATTGAGATTAGTGTGAGAAATATTGATATAGAGATTTATGCAAAATATATTCATAAAATATGAGAACTTCGTGACCCGATTACCTCTTATATATTATGGTTCAGCCAAATTTACATTTATTAGTTAATTACTAGTTTTAAAACTAGTAATTGACTAGTAAATGCAAATTTGGTTTACCAAACCCATGCCTTTAATTTATTGTAAAACTAGTAATAGCCAGATTATACCAAGATTAATAAGATTGATAAATTTTTTAAATTAATAATTGAGATCAGTGTATGAGAGAACTTTGTGGCCTGATTACATTATTAACTTTTCTTAAATACTATGGTTTGATAAAATTCATATTTTTAGTCAGTTACTAGCTTTAAAACTTGTAATTAACTAATAAATGTGAATTTGGTCAACCAACCTACAACTTTAACTTATTGTAAAATCAATTATAGTCAGCTTATAAGATTGATAAATTTTTTAAATTAAAATATATTCATGAAATATAAGAACTTTATGACCCAATTACCTCTTATATATTATGATTCAGCCAAACTCATATTTATTAGTCAATTACTAGTTTTAAAACTAGTAATTGACTGGTAAATACGAATTTGGTTAACTAAACCCATGCCTTTAATTCATTGTAAAACTAGTAATAGCCAAATTATACCAAGATTAATAAGCTTGATAAATTAATAATTATACCTAATTGAGATCAGTATAAAAGAGAACTTCGTAGCTTGATTATATCATTAATTTTTCTTAAACATTATAGTTTGGTAAATTTATATTTTTTAGTCAATTACCAGTTTTAAAATTTGTAATTAACTAATAAATATGAATTCAGTCAACTAACCAACAACTTTAACTCATTGTAAAACTAGTCATAGTTAGATTATACCAAGATTAATAAAAGTGCTAAATAAATTTACATGTGGAATGAAATTCTATATAAAATGATATCAATAACAATAGTGATAAATTTTAATTTTATTAGAAAAAAAACTTAAAAAAATGTTATTACCTCTTTTTTCAGACACTAAAGGGTCTAATATTGCACTATCAATGACCTCAACTTCATCAACTACAAGTTGCAAAAAGAGAAGATCCAATACTAAAATTTTTTGTAGTAATAAAAGCCATACTAGTTTTTTTTTCATATAGATAAAAATAATGTTGAACTTGTATATTGCAAAATTTGTAAGCATAGCTTTGCTGGCTCTAGACAAACTTCCTATTTATATACTTGTAAAGATAGCAACTAGAGATGTGCCGTATGCATTATGCAGGCGATGTTGCGTGCTACATAATGCTGCATAATGTAATGCAAGTTGTCTAAAATTTAAAAATATACATAGAAGTTATTATGTAATTTTGATTCATGTCATTTCATCAACAATTACTTTATAGGCATTTGTTTCTATCAAATTCAGAGCCTGTGAAATCCAATAAAAAATTAATCTACTAGGTCTGTATTCACTATATAAATCTGATATTTTATGTTTTCAAATCCAATAACCTCTCAGTAATAATACAAGTCTGTTCACTGCATATAGGTTTTAAGAGGTCACAGTATATTATACAGAATTGCATAATGTATCATGCAACATAATGTTGCATTATATAATGCAAGGCCAAAAAAACTTGCATTCGCACATCTCTAATAGCAACACATCAAATATGATTGTCTATTTATATAATAAACACAAATATAACCAAAAAAGACTATACTAATTATTTAGATGAATACAATGAGGTATATACAATAATTTAAAATTTTGTTATATTAAATAGCATAATTTAAATGCTATTCAATCTGTTATTCAAATTGCTATTCAATATTATCACATAATTTTTGGTATTAAGGTAACCTCTTTGGCCTGGGAACTTTTTATTAAAGAACCAGATAGCGGTCTTATAATGTAATTACAACAATAGTATATCAAGCCACATGTATATCTTTTGAGTGCCTAATTTAAGTAGTCTGTCCAAAGGTTCTACACTATTTGCTATATCTGCACCCCAACTAGGGGGTACCTATTTAAACCTTATAAGACGACATTCATTTGATTAGTTAATTTTGTAAATCTACCTGTAATTTTCCAGTAATAATTAACCAATCAAAATACATAATTTTTAATATACACGTATATTTAATTTTAATTAATATATTTTTTTTATGAGCTAAAGACTAATTAAAATCTCGATATAGTGAATTTTACTAATAAGCTCTTGATATATAGTGAAGTTTTAAAAAATTTTTATTAATGAAACCGATCCCTTCACTATAATAAGTTTGATGTATGTAAAATGGTAATTTTTTTTTGTCTTCTAATATATTTAAGCTATGTATGCAAATACTAAAATATATAGCATTTATATTAATACTCATCTGGAAGACAGTATCAAAATGGAAATAAAGTTGAAAAAAACGAATATAAAGTATACATTTATACTAAAAGATAGGATACACAATGAAATGTATAGACTTGGATATTACTATTAAATGGAATTGGAATCGAAAAGAATGTGCAAAAAGCATTTTTTTTTTATTAAAAGTCTGCCAGTTTTGAGACATATTTATAGAGTGTTTCATATTGGTCACTGTTACCAAAATGAAAAACACACAACCATTGTAAAAAATAATAAAAAAATTTAATATGTAATAGGAACAAATATGATGTAACAATATCAAATTGTATTCAAATATATTTTATTAAACAAATATATAGTAAAAATAAAAATTTAAATAAATTATAAAACTATAATTATTGCTGTTAAAATTTTTGCAATGCCTCTTCCAATTCAAATGCCTTATATTTTACTTTCTTAAATTCATTATTATCATTGTAAGGAACTCCTTCAACTTGGGTCTCCTTTTTTTTCAAAAGATTGCAAGCTTTCTAATAGAGATTGGACGTGTTTATCAATGCTATCTTTCAAAAATGAGAGACAATATATACATATAAATCCATTGTTAGCATAGCAAGACTTATGATAACCATGGCTACAAGAAATAGAACAATTAAACGCATTACAATAATGAAACAGATTGGGTGTATGTAAAGTATTAAAACCCAAAGGAAGATGACATAATTGTGCTTCTAGCATATGTATCACATGGTAACATTGTCGACTTTCTGCTTTTTAGATGAAAACAGATTCACTATAGCCTGTAATGGAAGTGTTAGTAGTGATTTACCATGAAATAAATGAACATAAATTTTTGAAAAACACTGTAAAAAAAACAAGTGCATTTGTTTGTTAATGCTGAAATATCATGTGCAGAATACTCATAAGCCACCCATGTTGATGTGTGTGTGCAAAGTTTTCTCTAAATCTACTATCGTCTAGACACAAGCGATTAATACAGCGACTATATTTAATTGTTTCTTGTTCTTTTGTATGCCTCTGCGTGCTTCTGCGTAGAAAACTGTGAAATATCTCTATCGTTGAATCTGAAAACATTGGAAGTTCTGCTTTAATAACATCCAAAATCAGGTGATTATTCAACTCCTAGTAGAAGATATCTAAAAGAAACATTAACAGTGTTTTTATATAATTCTTGCAACTAAATTTTAAAAAAATTGTCCAAGCACAAAAACAAGATTCTAAGTAAGTATCAAAATCACCAGATCAGAAAAACTCAGCATATATATCAAGAACTAAAGAAATCATATTATCAAGTAAATATTTAAGTGCAAGATACTCAGTATCTTTGCACAAAGGACCAAATTTGGCTTCAACATTTGCTGCAATTAACTGCCAAGCGCTTCGAGATATTTTCAAAAGTAGATTTATATGCCATGGCTTAGGAGTTTGCGCAAGGGGCTTTTGTTCTCCAAAGATATATCTGTTATATGGCCAAAAGAAATAGTCGATACTGAAGAAACACCAATTTACAGCTGTTTAGTGAAATATGAAGAGGACCTATGATAGAAAGAAAAGACAATATTTGATCAGTAATATTTAATAAATCTTGATGACATATAAAATGTAAAATTGCCATTCGAAGATGAATCTGTCTAGGCCAATCTGCAACAACAGGAATTATATATCCCTCTTGAATATACTGCTGCATTGATAGAACATTTACAACTATATTAATAGCTTTGATGTATGCATCCATAGTATGAAGATCATTCTTTTGCAAGTCAATAAAAATAGTATCCTTCATTGAATGAGAACTTCACTTTTCTTTTAGCCTAACATCATAGCTATATACAGTTAATTCTTCTAATCTTGTATCATCATCAACTATATAAAATTCTCAGTGATGATTATGTGAAAGACTATAAAATCTCATAAATCTGCTTTTGATATTTGTTTTAATTAATTCAGCATTGACAAGCAGAGGGTTATGGATATTCAACTTTGGAATCGCATGTTGAGTCATAATAGAATTCATTAAAATCGTCGTTAGGTATACAGCAGTTGATGTAGTAGTAGTATCTGGTGCTCACTCTGTATAAATACTATGGTAATCATTAATGTTTAATACTATAGCATTCTCTGCACATTTGGCAAGTGCAGAATTAACAGTTTCTTCTTATTCTTTAGATATAGTTGACTTAAGTCGCTGGACCATACAGAATGTTGTGGCTATACCTAAATCAGAAAAGATATCTATACAAGCATTAGAAGAACCAGAAGAATCTAAAAACATTGCAATATCTGTCTTTATATTATTTACAAACTTGTTATGGATTTCACAAAGAAAATAACAAACAAAAAGAAGCTGCTTTTTAGCCTATGCTCTTGAATCTTGATTTTTTAATAATGGGTTGGATGACAAATACAATTCAGTAAAAAAACTTTTTAATTGTGTATCTTCACTCTCCACAGTTGATCGAAATTCATCAAAAGAGTATATGGATTGTCTTTCTTCTTTATTTTCACAAGTATACAAAAGATCTGTTAATATTTTTATTAACTCAGAAAAAGTAAGATTAGTAGTGCTCTGAGCTTCATTAGTCTCACTAGTTTTAGTTAAATTTATAATAGCTTGATCTTGTAAATCAGGTTGTGTATGCTGAGATGGAGTCGAACTATTCACCATGATTATTATAACAAGTTAAGCAAATTGTATTACCTATTTAAAGATAAAGAGGTAAAGTATTATTAGCTTGTCCTTAGTTACTCTTTTCTAATGAGTTGATGACTCTCTTTTGCATGTAGTGATTGTGTATAGTCCAGTAATAGGCATCATTGTCTTATAAGTGAAGTCTTTCAAATTTTGGATTATTTTGAATTAATTTTAACAGTGAATATTAACATTCACTTAGAGCTAGGAATGGCTTTCACAGCGATTTTTTTGTTAGTAAAATGTTACATTCTCAAACAGTACTTTAAACTATATAAATAAGTTATCCAGGCAATTGATCTGTATTAGCAATCAGATGAATGTCGTCCTATGAATTTAAATCATCTGGTTATAACTACCTACTATTGCCTCTCTAACCCAGGGTATTACCTTACTATATGTAAGTGGATTTCGGCATCTACTCTATATGGATTTCACATCCTACTTTGGAACTTACTAACCACAATTGGATTTATCAATTTTTGTTTTAAGACTAACTAACCATATATGGCTAATCTATCCTCAAGGTAAACCTAACAGAGCAGTACATGTCCCACACATGTATTCATCTGCATATTTCTATAACTTTGTCCTAATTAGTACATATTAACCTGCTGTTCCGTATTATTATCTCTTACTACCTTTTGGGGTGCTGCCTTTCTACAGACGTTTTTCAAGCACCAATCTTTCTAACTAGGTACATACTCCTTGCTCTTATCCAGTTCACAACAACTCCAATACCTACATTCAAGCCATCTTCTTACTCGGATTCTTTATCAGTCCCTCTCTTACTTCAAGCTAGCAACCGGAAGGGTCAGTCTGCCCAGGCTTTAGGTACCTGAAGGATACCCTCCCCTTGGTCTATACTTTCAGAGCATATGTCTTTTTTCTTCAGTGCGACAACCCAGCAGTTTAGCTAGTGTGTTCTCCGCCGTAGGACCTGGTTGCTTGGTTCTCCAATCTTGGGCCTGGTTCGAATTTAGCCCTTCTGTAATACTATCAAAGATCACTGCTACCTCCAGATTCAGTCTTTCCAAATGGGTTTTCGGTTATGCTGGTTCCTCAGGTTTATTGCGCCAAAGCTTCTATTACTAGATGGTGTGATTGAAGTTACAGATTATAGTTCTAGATTCAACTGATAAGCATAGCCATTAACTGAACACAGGCCTATTTTTCAAATAT